AATATATATTATTTAAAACTTATTATTTATACTTAAAAATTTATTCATATAAAATTGATAAAAATCTTTATTTTTCAGCAATTTTTTTAAAATTTTATTTTAAAAAATATGCTTTATATGAAATATATTTTAAAAATCTTTAACAAATTTAAAAAATTTTTATTAAAAAATCAAAATTTTTTTTTAATATTAAGGCTATAAAATCAACGCGCGTGTTAGTAGCACATTAAAAAAAATCTATAATAGTATAAAAATCTATACACGTTAACTCTACAATATAAGAAAATTTATTACTCTATCACTTACAGTACTTTTTATTCTAACAAGTAACAATATATAAAGATTTTTCTTTAAAAAAAATCATCAATTGTTATATATATATATGTGTGTGTGTGTGTCTGTACAGTACATATATACATTAAGTCACAGTTGCCAAGTAATAAATTGAATTTAAGTGAGTGAAAAGTCTTAATTTTGTTACAGTCAGTCATATCTTTCGACATTGTTTCACTGGGTAGATCTTTTAATATTTTATTTTTCTAGTCAGTCGGGCTGTCGTACACTCGCTTAACCTGACACCCCTCTTAGCGAGTAGATGGGAACGGCCCGCAGAGCCCGACACGACATACCCTACACAGTACACGATGGAGGAACACATTTAGCGGGCTAAGCTTGGTATCTTCATAGGAAAAATAAAGTGTAACCGTCATAATAAAAGCCCGCGTAATCAACTAGGAACGACAATAAAAAGCAATCGAAGTTTGAAGAATATTTCGACAATACTCGACAGTCAAGACTGGTGAAGGTAAAAGAAAAAAAAAGGAACTCGTTTTTTGCGTCCTTTTTTTTTATTCTTGTTTCTTTTCTTTCGAATGGCCAACTCAGTTGCTACGACAGATCGATGCGAGAGAGCTACAACTGAGGAAGTAAAGGAAAAGCTTCTGACTAAAGAATTTATATTAAGAGCCAAAGAAGGTTCACAAGTTTGGAATAAATTCGATGAAGTTGTAGATGCGGCAACGTTACAACCTAAAGGTTACGTCCGTTGTAAGTTCTGTTTGAATTTTATGAGATACGATAGTCATAGGACTGGTACTTCTCACTTAAATAGACATAAGTGTGGATCGAAATTGACTAAAGAAAAACTGAATACTACAACAACGACTAGTCCTTCCTCTTCACCTCCGCAAATTGTTAGGCTGTTGCCTCTCGGTCAGTCAAGGACGGCGAACTCGAAAGTACAACAAGATCTGATAGACAAATGTGTTACTTTATGTTGCAAGGACATGCGCCCTTTCGACTTGTTTTCCGGAGATGGTTTCAGGGATATGGCACAATGTTTGATTAATATCGGTGCCACTTTAGGTAAAGTCGATGTTTCTACTATCCTCCCACCCGCTTCGTTGTTAGCAGTCAGGACTTTGGATATTGTTACTGAGGTAAGAAGATTATTTATTCAACAGGTTCGCTTGTAAATTGAATAAATCGCGCTTTTTTCCCGTATAAAACACCCAATAAGCGCCCACTTTTACTGCTATAATATCTATTACTTAGAGCCGTTGTGTGATAGATGTATACACACTCGACGTTTATAGACAATAAACACGTCATTAAATATTTAATTTCCTTGATAAATAAATATATATATAAATTTGTCTATAAGATGGTTATGTAATTCTGAAAATAAAATTTTATACATTAAAAAAAAAAGGAAGAAAGAAAGAAAGAAAAATGAAAATCAATAAATAATAAAATGACTTTCTAAAAACTGTCGATTATTGTAATTAAATTCGAGTAATTGATTTTAGTTTATTCGAAATCCGATAGATGGTGACATAATAAGTTGTATATTTTAAATGGAAAATTCTCAAAAAAGTTTTTGTAAAAAGAAAAATATAATTAAAATTATCGCATCTCATATAAATTCATATAATTTCAATTCAATGTTTTATATAAAGCATTTTTTATTATTAAAATATTATTAATTAATATATTTTATTTGCATTACCGTTTAAAAAGATATATAAAAAAATGTGTTTTTGAATATACAGGCCTATATACCATACAGTAATAAAAATAATAAATGCACAGAGTTATTGCAAAAAGCGAAAAAAAAAATCATTCTAAATATTTATAGATTTTAGTTTATATATACATAAAACCCACATATATAAATATTTAAACTTTTTTTGGAATGAAGATGACAAGAATATTGCATTTAGAAAACTCTCAAAAGTACTTATTGTCTCAAAATCTTTAAAAAATAAATTATTTTTATCAAATATACAGCCTAAGCATCATTCAATTATATTAAAAATACTTGCTTTTCTCATGTGGCAAAATTATTAACTAAGGCATTTTTTATCTTAGTTAATAATTTTGTTATTATCCTTAATTGATAACAATTTTAAGAATTTTTTAGACAGACTAAATATAATTTTATAGGCTTTATTCATTTCATATCAAATTATTATTATTTATTGGCAACATTTTAATTCTATATGTGTGAAACATTTGATCACAGAAAAAATATTTAAATATTTTGAAATTATTTTATAAATATTTTTAATGGAGAAAAATTATAAACATTTTCTTCTTTAATTTTTTCTACCATATATGTAAAGTTTTGACTTCTTTAACAAACTATATTTTGATAGTAGAGGTTATAACTGTGGGAAAAAAAAGTAATAGAGCCTATATAAATTATTATTTGGTATGAACTTTAAAATGATATGCAGTCATCTTGCACAAGATATTCATTTTAAAATATATATCTAAAAAATTTTCTTTTTTTTTTTTTTATGTAATTTATTCCAAAACTGCAAAAAATTTTAACTATATTTTAAAATAATTTCTTATTTATTATTAGATAAAATGTTCTGTTTAAAAATATAATAATTATGATTTAATTTCAGATAAAAGCACACATATTACCAGAATTAGATGATGCTGTTTCAGAATATGGTGCAGGTATTACAATTGATATGTGGACAGATGAAACAAGGAACTATCTTACCACTACTATATTTTATGTTCATAGGGATTGGAAGTTAGTTAAAAGGGTTCTTTCGACATCTCAGTTTGATTCCAGTGCTGCAAAAAGTGGAGAAGCATTCAAAAATCTCCTGGTGGGTAATCTCTATGGATTTGGATTGGATCCCAGTTCGATATGCAATTTAGTTTATGTAACGGTGCCAGATCCAATGATTACTTCGGCTCTGAATACTTTTAGACGTTTAGATTGTGGTTCAGCTGTCATTGATAAGGTATTAGATATTACATTTGATACTGATTATTTAACTAAACAAGCTCCTGAAGTCTTAAAAGTATTAACAACTAGTACAGTAATTGTAACCTGTATGAAGCAGTCTGGCTTAATTCAAGACATTCCGTCTTCATTTATTAAAAAAGAAAAACATAAAACGTGGTCTGTCAAATTAGAAATGCTCATGTTTGTTCGAGAACATTATGATTTGATAAATCAAACAGTGTTTCCTCAAGAAGAAACAGAAAATCTCATATCACCAATTCATTTAGACATTTTAATATTTTTAATTGAATTTTTACAACCTTTTAAACAAGCAATTGATGATTTAGAAGATTTCCATTATCCAACAATCAATTTAGTTTTACCCTGGTATTGCAAGTTATTAAAACATACGCAATCTGCTATTAATGATACTTGTATGATGAGTGCAATCAAATCAAAATGTCACATGACTATTAAAGAAAATTTTTCTATTCATATTCTTCATAAAACAGCTACTTTTCTTTGGCCAGAATTTAAATGTCTTAAAATGATATCAAAATCAGAACAAGAAGAAGTTCACAATGCCATACGAAATATGATCTCTCAAGAAAAAATGGATTCTAAAGAGGACTTGGTTAATGATCCTGAGCAACCAGAAAAGAAACCAAAGATCTCTTTCTCAGAATGGGAAGATAATAATGAATTGAACGATGAAGTATCAAATTATATAAACCTGAATACGGTTATGTCAGATGAGAGAGATTTATTAAGTTGGTGGTCTTGTAAGACAAAAATTTATCCCGGCCTGTCAAAAATAGCTCGGAGCATTTTAGCCATTCCAGCTAGCAGTTGTTCAACAGATTCCACTACCTCTCTTTCCGTGAAAGCATTTAGAGATAGGAGATCTATCCTAACTTCTGATACCATTGATGGTATTCTGTTTCTTCACAGTAATCTTGGATAATTAAAATATACAAGTTAACTACATTATAATGTTAATCATGATTTATTTTTTGTAATTTTACCCTTAATAATTTCATAAATGTGTTTAGTATTATTAAATCAACATTATCAAACTCCATATTATTATTGAACATTTTCATCATTTCTCATTAAGTTTTACAATAATAAAATACATTTTTTAATTATAATTAAAAAATCAGGAAATTTTGAATTTTTCATTTATTATAGTCATAAATGTATAATAACAACTTTCATCTTGAATAATACAGAATATTAAGGCTATAAATACATTGTTATGTTTAACATGAAAGATTGTATCCAGCTTCTGCTTAAAAGTTGCTATATGATTTCAAAGTAAATGATAAGTTTTGAAAAAATATTCATATAGTATTCATTTTTTATTTAACTAATATTTTTGAATAAATCAATTTGAATCCATAAAAAAAATAAATAAAAGTAAATACTCGTATTTAATCTTCTCAGTTTATTAATAAAACTCTGGAAATTTTACAGTTTGAGCACAATAAAAAGAATTCAACTCATTTTGCATTAGTTATCACTTATTTAATTAAAATAATTATTCAAAAACATTAATTAATTTAACTATAATTTTGTTATTGTTTTTAATTGTAAATTACCAGAATCCTGTATTTTCATTTATAAGTATAGATTTATAGTGATGTAATATCACATCTGATTCTAGATCATTTGACCCTTTATCAAATAGAAGTGCATTCTGAAAACTAATGATAGTTACAAAATCATGCTTATATTTTTATACTTAGAACTGGTAGTTCCATATATCCACTGTTTTCATATGCTTATAGTGAAATCTTCAGCTTTTTTCATATTTATTATTTCAATATCTATATGTGTAAAAAGTCAGAAAATTTTAAATATCCCAAAGGTAAGTGCTGTATAAAATATCAGCACCTGTGGCACACTCAAGATTTAATCTTGGGGAGCTGAGTTAAATGGATAAAAAATTTTAATGCAAATTCAATAAAATTTCCATCTTATGTGACCACTAATCCACGAGTAATATAGAAATAGAGTACACAACATAATATAAAATAAAAAATGAATTTAGGAAAAGCTTTTTGGGAAATTTACTAGTGTTTTTTTTTTTTCCTTTTACTGTGGGAGGTGCCAGTGTGCTACTGATCGGAACTTTACATTTGAATGTGATTAAATGTACTTAATGAGTGTGATACAATAATTTTTTTAACGTATTAATATAAAATTTCATTATTCTTTTTTTTTTTTACTTTATATTCTAGAATAAATCATAATATTTAGATATTCCTAAGATATGAAAGCCTGCATAGACACATAGGCTAGAAATAAGATTTAGAAATCTTATTTCTAGAATATAAAGTAAACAATAATGAAATTTATACTTTAAAAAATATATATAATATATATATAAGAATGCCTGTGTATAATTGCATACAGATTTTCTTATAAAAAATATCACAAAAATCCTTAGTAACTAGATGGCAAGAAAGAAGTTAATAATTGGAGAATCAGCTTGAAAAATACAATTCTAAAATAACATAATAAAATGTACTGTACCTTCTATAGCACAAATATAATTAACTTATGGTTTCATATTATTCCTGCTATAACATATAATTTTATTTCTTTTTTAAAGAATTCTATAAGATTCAAAAAAAGAAACAAATATTTTAATCTAACAAAATATAAATGAGAAAAATAAGTAAAATTTTTGTAATAAATGCAAAAAAAATTGGTTATGATAATTTTATGATGAATGGTCAAAAATGATATATTATTTAATCATTTTCAATACTTAAACTTTCTAAATTACAGTAATTTATATTATATCTATTTGATATTAAAGGTAAGTTTATAAATCTAACAATCCTATGTGTAGGAGTTAAAAATTTTAATTTTTTTTTTAACAGTTTAACATAAATTTAAATTTAACATGGGTATTAAATTTTAAACTTGAAAAAAATTACTGAAAATATTTTTATAAACTTTCCTATTTTTAACTACGTAAATGAATTATATAAAATTTACATAATTTATATTTAAGAAAATGGTAAATAAATCCAAAAAATATACTTAAATATTTTAAAAATTGAATCCTTTACTTATCTTTATAATATATTTGTTTATTAACATAAAAAGTCTACTGCCTTTTTATATTAATAAACATTTGATTTGATTTATAATATATTTGAATATGAAATTGTTCTAACTAAATATTAATTAACAATATTTAATTTTTTTAAGAATTATAAGAGGCATTTTAAAAGAGAAATAAAATTATGATTATAAAATGTGTTTGTTCTAATTATATTATAACAATCCTTATAAATTATTTTAAAAATCAGTTTCAAACAATATATTTTGCAGATTAATTTATATAAATTTTAATAGTTTTAATTATTATAACTTTATTACAAGTTTAACTTGTAGATTCCATTAAACTATATAATTAATACTGTTTTTATTTTTCACTATAAATCTTGTTCTTAAAAAAAAAGAAAAATTGTTGACAGATTGAAAAAATTTGAGGACAGGAAACTTCTTTGATATTCTTTCCCTACTATTTTCATCCCTAAAATTCTTTACTCCACTTGAGTGCACTCATTTCTTTGGTAGAATATTTTTTTAGTTACATTAAAATTTGAACTAGCTTAAATAATAATCTGAAATAGTGTTAAATTTATCATTAAAAAAAGATAAAATATTTTGTTAAAAATATAAAATTAGGTCTTCGTAAACAAAGCTTTTTTACTTTTTATTTATTCATTTATTGATAATTTTTAAAAATATTTACAGTTTTAAAATACAATGAAGGAAATAGAATTTAAATATTATATCTAGTAACATATTTGAAACTTTTATATGAAAAGTTCATAGACTTTCATTATTCAATTGAAACAATACATATTTACTATATAATATACAGTTTAAATAATTTTAAAATTATTTACTCCATTTTAAAAAAAATATTTAAACTAGAAAAGATGATAGAAGAAAAAATTCAATTACTTAGAATTTATAAAATTTAGATATAGTAAATAGCTTGTAAAATTTAATTTATTTTCAGGTTAAAGTTCTGAATCAACAATCCTTTCTAATTAATTAAAAATAAATAAAATTTTATAAGAAAAAATAATTCTTAATTAAAATATTTCTTGGAAGAAGTACAATGATAATTACTTACACTTTTTCCTTTTACAAATAACCAGAGAAAAAAGAAATAACAAAAAAATGAAAAAAGAATTCCTTCCAATTATAGAAAAACATGAATGAAAAAATTATTAATGAAAATTTAAGTAGGATTAAAAATATGTTGAATTTAAAAACATAATAAAGGAATATATATATAATGTAGCGTATTATTTAAATATTTAAGAAAAATATATTACCTTAGCAGGTATCACAAATGAATACATTTTTTTAGAGTTGTATTATGGGCCTCACTTGAAATAGCTCATTTCAGTTGAATGATTATATCTTCTACTTCAATGTAATAGGTCTTACTTTGTAAACTTGCCTGAGGACTTTTAAAACAAGTCTTGACAGATATACAGTATATGTATATGCAATTTAAAAGAAAGTGTTCTTACATTAAATCTTAATCTGTGTAGTTCTTAAATGTTTATAATCTTTTTTCCTCTGTCTTAATTATAATAATAAATCTTCTAAACTGACAGGATATTTAAATAATTTAAATCTAAATTCTGATAAAATTCTAAATATTATTCTCCCTTTTNTTATGATTTAATTTCAGATAAAAGCACACATATTACCAGAATTAGATGATGCTGTTTCAGAATATGGTGCAGGTATTACAATTGATATGTGGACAGATGAAACAAGGAACTATCTTACCACTACTATATTTTATGTTCATAGGGATTGGAAGTTAGTTAAAAGGGTTCTTTCGACATCTCAGTTTGATTCCAGTGCTGCAAAAAGTGGAGAAGCATTCAAAAATCTCCTGGTGGGTAATCTCTATGGATTTGGATTGGATCCCAGTTCGATATGCAATTTAGTTTATGTAACGGTGCCAGATCCAATGATTACTTCGGCTCTGAATACTTTTAGACGTTTAGATTGTGGTTCAGCTGTCATTGATAAGGTATTAGATATTACATTTGATACTGATTATTTAACTAAACAAGCTCCTGAAGTCTTAAAAGTATTAACAACTAGTACAGTAATTGTAACCTGTATGAAGCAGTCTGGCTTAATTCAAGACATTCCGTCTTCATTTATTAAAAAAGAAAAACATAAAACGTGGTCTGTCAAATTAGAAATGCTCATGTTTGTTCGAGAACATTATGATTTGATAAATCAAACAGTGTTTCCTCAAGAAGAAACAGAAAATCTCATATCACCAATTCATTTAGACATTTTAATATTTTTAATTGAATTTTTACAACCTTTTAAACAAGCAATTGATGATTTAGAAGATTTCCATTATCCAACAATCAATTTAGTTTTACCCTGGTATTGCAAGTTATTAAAACATACGCAATCTGCTATTAATGATACTTGTATGATGAGTGCAATCAAATCAAAATGTCACATGACTATTAAAGAAAATTTTTCTATTCATATTCTTCATAAAACAGCTACTTTTCTTTGGCCAGAATTTAAATGTCTTAAAATGATATCAAAATCAGAACAAGAAGAAGTTCACAATGCCATACGAAATATGATCTCTCAAGAAAAAATGGATTCTAAAGAGGACTTGGTTAATGATCCTGAGCAACCAGAAAAGAAACCAAAGATCTCTTTCTCAGAATGGGAAGATAATAATGAATTGAACGATGAAGTATCAAATTATATAAACCTGAATACGGTTATGTCAGATGAGAGAGATTTATTAAGTTGGTGGTCTTGTAAGACAAAAATTTATCCCGGCCTGTCAAAAATAGCTCGGAGCATTTTAGCCATTCCAGCTAGCAGTTGTTCAACAGATTCCACTACCTCTCTTTCCGTGAAAGCATTTAGAGATAGGAGATCTATCCTAACTTCTGATACCATTGATGGTATTCTGTTTCTTCACAGTAATCTTGGATAATTAAAATATACAAGTTAACTACATTATAATGTTAATCATGATTTATTTTTTGTAATTTTACCCTTAATAATTTCATAAATGTGTTTAGTATTATTAAATCAACATTATCAAACTCCATATTATTATTGAACATTTTCATCATTTCTCATTAAGTTTTACAATAATAAAATACATTTTTTAATTATAATTAAAAAATCAGGAAATTTTGAATTTTTCATTTATTATAGTCATAAATGTATAATAACAACTTTCATCTTGAATAATACAGAATATTAAGGCTATAAATACATTGTTATGTTTAACATGAAAGATTGTATCCAGCTTCTGCTTAAAAGTTGCTATATGATTTCAAAGTAAATGATAAGTTTTGAAAAAATATTCATATAGTATTCATTTTTTATTTAACTAATATTTTTGAATAAATCAATTTGAATCCATAAAAAAAATAAATAAAAGTAAATACTCGTATTTAATCTTCTCAGTTTATTAATAAAACTCTGGAAATTTTACAGTTTGAGCACAATAAAAAGAATTCAACTCATTTTGCATTAGTTATCACTTATTTAATTAAAATAATTATTCAAAAACATTAATTAATTTAACTATAATTTTGTTATTGTTTTTAATTGTAAATTACCAGAATCCTGTATTTTCATTTATAAGTATAGATTTATAGTGATGTAATATCACATCTGATTCTAGATCATTTGACCCTTTATCAAATAGAAGTGCATTCTGAAAACTAATGATAGTTACAAAATCATGCTTATATTTTTATACTTAGAACTGGTAGTTCCATATATCCACTGTTTTCATATGCTTATAGTGAAATCTTCAGCTTTTTTCATATTTATTATTTCAATATCTATATGTGTAAAAAGTCAGAAAATTTTAAATATCCCAAAGGTAAGTGCTGTATAAAATATCAGCACCTGTGGCACACTCAAGATTTAATCTTGGGGAGCTGAGTTAAATGGATAAAAAATTTTAATGCAAATTCAATAAAATTTCCATCTTATGTGACCACTAATCCACGAGTAATATAGAAATAGAGTACACAACATAATATAAAATAAAAAATGAATTTAGGAAAAGCTTTTTGGGAAATTTACTAGTGTTTTTTTTTTTTCCTTTTACTGTGGGAGGTGCCAGTGTGCTACTGATCGGAACTTTACATTTGAATGTGATTAAATGTACTTAATGAGTGTGATACAATAATTTTTTTAACGTATTAATATAAAATTTCATTATTCTTTTTTTTTTTTACTTTATATTCTAGAATAAATCATAATATTTAGATATTCCTAAGATATGAAAGCCTGCATAGACACATAGGCTAGAAATAAGATTTAGAAATCTTATTTCTAGAATATAAAGTAAACAATAATGAAATTTATACTTTAAAAAATATATATAATATATATATAAGAATGCCTGTGTATAATTGCATACAGATTTTCTTATAAAAAATATCACAAAAATCCTTAGTAACTAGATGGCAAGAAAGAAGTTAATAATTGGAGAATCAGCTTGAAAAATACAATTCTAAAATAACATAATAAAATGTACTGTACCTTCTATAGCACAAATATAATTAACTTATGGTTTCATATTATTCCTGCTATAACATATAATTTTATTTCTTTTTTAAAGAATTCTATAAGATTCAAAAAAAGAAACAAATATTTTAATCTAACAAAATATAAATGAGAAAAATAAGTAAAATTTTTGTAATAAATGCAAAAAAAATTGGTTATGATAATTTTATGATGAATGGTCAAAAATGATATATTATTTAATCATTTTCAATACTTAAACTTTCTAAATTACAGTAATTTATATTATATCTATTTGATATTAAAGGTAAGTTTATAAATCTAACAATCCTATGTGTAGGAGTTAAAAATTTTAATTTTTTTTTTAACAGTTTAACATAAATTTAAATTTAACATGGGTATTAAATTTTAAACTTGAAAAAAATTACTGAAAATATTTTTATAAACTTTCCTATTTTTAACTACGTAAATGAATTATATAAAATTTACATAATTTATATTTAAGAAAATGGTAAATAAATCCAAAAAATATACTTAAATATTTTAAAAATTGAATCCTTTACTTATCTTTATAATATATTTGTTTATTAACATAAAAAGTCTACTGCCTTTTTATATTAATAAACATTTGATTTGATTTATAATATATTTGAATATGAAATTGTTCTAACTAAATATTAATTAACAATATTTAATTTTTTTAAGAATTATAAGAGGCATTTTAAAAGAGAAATAAAATTATGATTATAAAATGTGTTTGTTCTAATTATATTATAACAATCCTTATAAATTATTTTAAAAATCAGTTTCAAACAATATATTTTGCAGATTAATTTATATAAATTTTAATAGTTTTAATTATTATAACTTTATTACAAGTTTAACTTGTAGATTCCATTAAACTATATAATTAATACTGTTTTTATTTTTCACTATAAATCTTGTTCTTAAAAAAAAAGAAAAATTGTTGACAGATTGAAAAAATTTGAGGACAGGAAACTTCTTTGATATTCTTTCCCTACTATTTTCATCCCTAAAATTCTTTACTCCACTTGAGTGCACTCATTTCTTTGGTAGAATATTTTTTTAGTTACATTAAAATTTGAACTAGCTTAAATAATAATCTGAAATAGTGTTAAATTTATCATTAAAAAAAGATAAAAATCTAAAGTTGAAAAAGACTTCAAAACTAAAATTTCAAACATCAGTTGTGACTTTCCTACTTTAAAATTTATCATTAAAAAAAGTTTGAAATCTAAAGTTGAAAAAGACTTCAAAACTAAAATTTCAAACATCAGTTGTGACTTTCCTACTTTGACATTTCTCCTGATTGTGACTCCACGAATTTTGACTTGTTTTACCGATTGTGACACCGAATTTGACTTGTTTTACCGATTGTGTCACCAATTTTGACTTGTTTTACCGATTGTGACACCGAATTTGACTTGTTTTACCGATTGTGACACCGATTTTGACTTGTTTTACCGATTGTGACACCGATTTTGACTTGTTTTACCGATTGTGACACCGATTTTGACATTTCCCGATTGTGACTACTCAAGTTTCGACCCTCCTCAATTGTGTCCATCCCTTAAAAAGCGGATATAAATTCATTCAAGAAAGAAAGGAAAGTTTACAAGATAATTATAAATGTAATTAGAATCAATCTGTCTTTAAACACAACTTTGGATTTCTAAAATTAATAAAAATCTTTATATGATTTGGCGTCAAATTATTTCAAAAAACAAAGAATTGTGTCTTTATTGCTGTTTTTTAAAATTAAAGTTAATATTAAATACGATTAAAATCGATATACAGTATTTATTTTCTCGAATAATCCGCGCAGTAAAGGTTTTATTTAGATTGTGCAAGGTTTTAACTCTTTTCATATAAATATATACAAGATAGGACCTATCTCATGATATTATAAAAAGTTTTTTATTTCAATAAATACTAGATTCCTATTGATACATCCTTTGTGCGTACCGGAGGTCCTTAATTGTCGGTATTCTTCTTTGTATTTTATATCGATCATAAAATATACAAAATTATCGCATATAAAAATATTTTCTATTTATGTCACCATGGTTATGCTGAAATAATGCTTAATTAATGTAGTATGTTTAATTTTCGCATTTCTCTTTGTAAGAATTAGGGCGATTTGTAAAATGACCAAGGAAATTTGACGAGAAGTTACAGAAAAAATGAATTTAGCGTTTCAATCTTTGTAAATTTTATATTTTATGAATATGTAAGAACGCCGATTGGGGGGGGGGAGATTTTTTCCCTACTGTCGGGATAGTCTAAGGTCTACGCGTATGTGGGTGACGGTTTTAAAAGGCAGCATAGACAAGTGTTTCACAGAGGGAAACCGTTTATTCCGGACGAAATTGCTTACATAAAGTCTCTCGTTGGCAAGATCCTGTGTTGTTGGAAATTTTTGACGTCGGTGCTGGTCTTGCGTCGTCGGGATTTTCAGCAGCGATCTGGTCTAGCGTCGTCAGGGCCCCTGGACAGTGTTGAGAGAAAAAAAGTTCAAAGTCTCTAACGTCGGTGCACAAAAAGAAGAACGGAGGTACAAAAATAAGCGGAGACGACACGAACACAACAGAAGTCTAGTGGAAGCTTAGTGGAAGTCCTGTTGTCCTTGAATTTGGCATTTTTATAGGTTTTTTTGCGACCGGCTTCTTGTTAATTGGATAGATCTTACATCATCGTTTTCTAATTGATCTTCCACCTGTCTCAAGGTGTAAATGGAGCTTCGTAAGGTTCGCGAGAAAGGTCGGCTGGAGATGGTTTATCCGACACCATCATTCTCGACTCTGATCTCGTTTAATTGTTGACTATGACACCTACGCTTTTTGATATATTTTTTTCTAGTTTCGTTTTGCTTTCTAAACTGCGTCTTAATTTTAATATTTTAAATTTTCTTCTTTTATATCTAAAATTTTGTTTTTCCCGTTATTCTTTATGAGCGCTGACGTCAAAGTCCGGTATCACCGATTCGATATTTATATAATTTGCTTTCTTGATGATTTAACTTAAACTTTTTTTTTCTTATATCTTTCCCTTTTGCGGGAGCTATTTCCGGGGCCTCACAAATATTATAAACTTATAATATACATTTTAATTCAAACACAAATTATTTATCGTATTTATACAGATACTTAGCAAATCACAGAATTAAATTTTATTCAATTGTATAATATACAGTATAGATATTATAATTACCTGATATATATATATACATATAGCCAAAACTTAATGTAGCGCTCTACTAAACTTGGGCCGATGAATATGAACATCATGAACTCTAAGTATTAAATAGAAGGCCCTTCAGTATGTCAATTGCTAAATATACAATTTTCCATTATTTCGTGATAATGTAAAATCGTATATTTAGTAATTCTCAAACTTGTGATCAGGCCTCGTTACTCTATATATAATTTAGTGCAGTGTTCGATGTAGTGTTAATTTTAGAGACGAACAAATGATAGTGATTAATCGAAGACCGATTAATGTTTATCAAAGGTCATTCGACATATTCGGGAGACATTTCCTACTGTTAAATTGCCATACGTGTCCTGTCACCGCGTAGAAAGAACAATAACATTCTTTACTCTCGTCCAAAAGACAGCAGAGTGTCAGTGGCATGCAGCTCCATTTTGGAAAAAGTGAGAACTATTTTCATTAAAAATAATCCTATATTTAAACGTAATTAGTTTCCTTTAATTAAAAATTCAT